ATATTTATCAGTGATTTGATTGGATAATTTAATAATTTAAAATTCAAATTGATTCAAATATTTAGGACTTTCTTATACATGTGAAAATAATTAAAAAAGCAATTGTGCATATAAAAACACATTCAATCTTTTAATTCGAAATCTTATAGAAGTGTGTTTTGATTCTGTGTGTGATTTGCTTCTATGGATTTCAATAAACACGGCAGATTGAATGAAATACAAATACGATTCATTTAACGATTTTAAATGAAATATTATATAATATTATATAACTCCAAATATTGTAGAATTTACTATAATTTGTCTGAGATAAGTTGTATACATTGTATATTATCTTATATTGAAATTTATTTGAAATAATTGTACATAAAAAAATATCAGTATATTTTTATTTTCATTAAGTCGTTCCGCTACGACATTGTAATACAGTATTGCCGCGCACCCAGCTGAGCGTTCTTGCTCTTTCGCTATCTCGTTCTATTTAATACAAACTTAAAATGCTTATAACTCGTTAATTAAGCCTTATCGGACATATATATATATATATATATATATATGAACTTTTTTCATCATTTTGATGTCTAGAATCCACTTTCCAAGAATAGGTCCCACATGTTTATTAATACTCTATATATATATTTATATTTATAGTTTCAATCATTCAAGGTCTCTTGGTTCCGACTCGGTCTTCCTAAGAAACGACGAACAAGAAAAATGTCTCGACACGGAGGATGAAGTGTCTGGATTTTCGACCGATTCTGAAACAGCCGGGCCAAGTTGTCGACGATTTCTTCGAGTACCCTCGAAAAAGAAGAAAACAATTGAAAAATGGGATGGATGTGCTGGATGTGTTCCTAGACGGCGACCTGGAGGCAAACTTTGTCAAGCTTGTCATAGTATTAGTGCAGCTGTTGAAACCTCTAGGTATATTTCTTAGTAAAATAATTTGATAATTATTTAAAAAATGGATACATTTTCGATTTCGATGATTGTTAAATATATTTTAAAAAATATATATTTTGACTTACTTTTATTATAATACTTTTATTTTTGTATATTTATATATAATCGTCATTCGGCTTTTAAATAATACTTTTAAATAATATGCAAAAAATTTTTAGAATAGAATAATACGAAATTCTAATGAAAATTTAATCCTCCTCCTTTCCTTTCTCCAAATAAAATATTATAGTAATATTTGTGATTTTAAAATAATATATAATTGTAATGGAGAAAAAACGACATAAAATTAGATAAGATTTAATATATCTCGAAATATTATTTCATTATTATTATTATTAATCATTTTATTATTATTCTCATTATTATTTTAGATAAAGTTCTGGCAATTCATTGACTCGAAATGGAGAGAGGAATGTGATTATCAAATATAAAATTTTAGTTTCAAATATTTATTAGTTTTTGAAATATTAATGAAAAACTTTCAGTACTGTATAATGAATTCTATAATTCTATAAAGATTAATTATCTTCACTAAAGATTGTAAAACATTTTCGTGAAAATTGTTGTCATTAAATATAATAATAATCTTGATATTTATAATTTATCTAATATAAAACTTTTAATTAATTTCATTACAAATTGCAAATATTAATTTCCTCATTGGTCTTTATTTTTAAGTTCTAAGCAAATTCAATATCTATTATAGAATCATTTCTATTGGAAACAATAATTGTTATTATTGCACTTTTAACATTAAATACTTTTACTAACATTATTAAATACTTTTATTGATATTATTTTTTTTTCATTTAAAAAATATTTTTCTATTCTCATTTTTTAAGATATTTGGCATTTTATTAATTAAATATGTTTAATTTCTTAAGAATAAGTGATCAAATTTTTCATAGATTATAAATGGAACATCTTATATATATATTTAAATATTAAAATTGATGTAAATATTATCGATAGATACTCAATATTCCATGATGGTGATATAACAATGAAGATTGTTATATTAATAATATCTAAATAGATATCATTTAATATATTAATAATATCATATGTATAATTTTTCATAATATCTCGTTCTTCATTCATATCTCAAAAATAAATAAATATCCGAAAGTTAAAATTTTAAATAAAATTCATTCCCTCTTTTTTGCCATTTTTAAATTTTGTTTTTTCTTTCGGAAATATAATTTCATTTTTTTCTGTAATTTAATATTAAAAAAAAATTTTTTATTTGGAGAATAATTAAAATTTTTATCAATCGAAAATTATTTAAAAATTCTTTAAAAATTAAATTTAAATTTAAAAATATTAAACAATAAAATTTTAAGTTATAAAAAAAAGAATATTACATTAAAAAATAGGTATTCTATCGAATGATTCTATAATATCGATTAATAATTGCATAATGATAATAATCGCATAATTGCGATAATGATGAATCGCAATAAAAAAATTATTCTTTTTATATGATTATTATTTTATTCAATTTCGAATTAAAAATTGTTTTAATATTTTTCTTAGAAATGTCTAAAGAATTTGATACTATATAGCAAATTTGTATCAAATAAATAATTTTTTATAAAAATATAAAAATATATAAAAAACTATATTTATAGTCTTATATATTATATATATTTTTAAGCTTCTGCATTTCAATCAACTATTCAAAATCTCAAATAATTATAATTGTGAGCACTATTCCATTCAGGAACTTTTCATTTGTTTTTTAAGACTAATTTGAAGCTTATATAATATTATAATATTATAATATTTTTAAAATTTTTTCACGTAATATTTAGTTTTGCACTTTTTTATAAAAATTTATATTTGAAAATATTATTTTTTAAAAACCGAGGAGAACAATTTGGTTTCCAAATTTAAAAAGAACATGTGAAAAACTTTATAAAAATCATACAGTGAATTATATAATAGAAAATAAATTATTTTTTATTAATCAGTATTATTACAAAAATTTTTAAATTGACTATTCTTCTCAAATTAATTTAATATACAATAAATATTATTGAATTGATATGAAATTATTTTAAAATTGAAGAAAACTAATATATATTAGGATGTCCCATAAGTTTCTTTCTTTTTTTTTTGATATGAAATGAATACACGATATTTGTTGTTTAAAGTTGATTTATTGTGTTATATATGAACCATTCTACTCTATCAGCTTCTTACATCTCTCAAGAAGCCTTATTATTTCCTTTTTTTCAAAATTGTTGGGATTTATTTGCAAAATATTCCTCGAAATGCGTTTTATTCTTACAGATTGAAACCGTTTATCATGAAAAGAAGTTTTTAATAAGTAATAGTCGGATAGAGCAAGATTTGGTAGTATAGAGTATAGAAGTATAAAAGATGCGATAGAACGTCTCAATTAAACTGTAACAGCTTTTCTCTTACAATCAATGCAACATGCGGTTTTGCATTGTGTGTAATGGCCTCATCGGTTCGCTAATGTTGGTCGTTTTTCTACTATGGCATCTTTCAATTTATTAAATTGATTGCAAGAATTATTTTCCAGAATTGATGATTTCATTTCGATTTCATTTTGATTTCATTTTGAGAAAGGAACTCATAGTAGACTACACCTTTCCAATCCCATTAAATGGATAAAAGAACTTTCTTCGGGTGAAATCCAGGCTTCGCGACAGTTGAAAGTCTATTCTTCTTAAATCAAATGCGTTTTCGATGCACATTTTGATACAAAAACCAAGTCTCGTCTCCAATGACAAGATCTTTAAAAAAGGATCTTTTTCATGTCGATGAGAAGGACAAGGAAATTGCACATAGAGACACGATTCATAAGGCCGGTCTCTGTCAATAGTTATGGAACCCAAACTTTACATCGATCGACATATCCCATCTTGATCAGGTGATTATATATTGTTGTCTTGGGAATGTTAATGGCATTCACTATCTCGCGCACACTATATCGTGGATTTTCAGCGAACATGGTCCTGATAAAATACCTGTCTTCATTTTTCAAGTTAAAATTGCCAGCTCTAAAACTCTTAAATCAATTGATGATCGTAATAATTATAGCACCATTTCCGTAAATAGTACAAATCTCTGTAGTATCATTTGCACTATCATCTTTTTTAAAGCAACAAAACATAATATGTCGCATTGTGCTTCCTTTGGCTATCCATATTGAACGCTAGAAAAAAGTTTTAAACGAAACTGTGTTATCAACGAAACATACTTTAAAAGACCTCTGAGATGACTGAAACCAATACTATAAACAACTAATAGATAAATCTGCATATTCATATAAAAATATTAAAATTAAAATTATTCCTAACGTGGTGCGAAAGAAATTTATGGGATATTTATTACATATTATATATTATGAACTGTTAATGTATTAACATATATAACCCAATCAGAATATATAATCCAATATCAATAGAATCTTTTTTCTTATAACAGTTACTTATAGTATATTGTAATTTATAACAATTACAGTATTATTTTAATCTTTTATAGCTATTATATATTACAAGAATCGAAATCGATATCTTAACGTTTCTAATTTTTAATTTTTAATTTAATTTTTAATTTTTAATAAATAAATACTTTTATATTATTATTTTTAAAAATTCCAGAATTATTTATTTTTATTCGTTTATTATTTTATTCATTTATTTTGAATTATTCATTATTTATAATTTATTTTAAAATTATTTATAAAGAATAATTTTAGATATTTGTTGCTGTAATAATAACAGGTCTCAGGCAGTCTCTACGAGCACCAGCAGTCAGAGTAGCCTCAGTTCTCCTCCGTGTTCACCAGCTATCGAGCTCAGATATAGACCACCACCAACACCATTACCATCAAGTCCACCTATTTGGTCTCAAGAAACTCTCTTTTAATTCTCTAAAAATTTGCCGTTTTCATAAATGATCATAGTAATCGCACAAAAATATCCCTTCTATAAGGAAAACGAACAATTATTGAAAAAAATGAAGAATAACTGTGAAAAATAACTGATAAAATAAAATGATTTTGAGAAATAAAAATATAAAAGTTGAAATTCCTAATACAATTGTTTAAATAAAAGAAACTGAATAAGGAAAAAAGTAAGAAAAACTATATTAAATGAAATTACAAAAATCTAAAGAAAAAATACAAGATTATTATTATTAATGTAATATCTAGAAACGAGAAAAAAGTATTTAAAAAGTTGATATAAAAAAAAAAAATTATGAAAAGGTAAAATGTTAAAGGAAAAATCTTAAGGAAAAAAAAATAAAAGAATTTTGGAAAAACAAACATAATGCAAAAAGAAATTATGAATTTTGTAAAAAAGTGGAAAATAGAAAAGAATCAAATATAATTAGAGAATAATAGAAAAAATATAAATATCAAAGCTTTATTAAAACAAATAAGAAGAAAAGAATATGCAAAAAAATCAAGTCCAATTTTTGCTTAAGACAAAAATAAAATAATAAAAATTTTATGGGAAAAGAAAAAAAAAAGATTGAAGTTAATCAAAAAGATAATAAAAAAATAAAAAAATATAAAGACATTTGTGCACTAAGATTTACGATATAAAAAAAGAAAAACAAAATCAAGAGACTAATTAATCGTTAAATGAATTGTTGTAAAAAGAAGAAAATAATAGCGTGTTATAGATAAATATTGTAAATAACAAACATAAAAAAAAGAAAACGAAGAAAAGAATTTAAATTCGTTTTTTTTTTTCGTATTCAAAAGAAATGAAAAAACTTATCATGTTTGAATGAACAAGAGAAATGAAGAAATCAAAATTTTAAAAAAATGTTGATTGTAAAAAAAATATAAAAAAACACTTCGACTTTTATTGATTATCTCTTATTTTGATTTTTAATATTTATCTAATTTATCTATGTATGTATAGTATGCATAATTAAAAATATAAATTATATTAATTGAATCAAAAATTTGAGAAACAAACAAATAAAAACTATAAAATTTATTAAGTTGAAGAAATATTTTTTTTTAAATCAAACAATTGTACAATAAAATAATTAAATGTATAATATATAATATAATCAAATAATCACATGAACATTATTTTACATTAAAATAAAATCGTTATGGAAAAAGGATTGTTTGATTTAAATTAATTTATAGCAAAGTAGTTAATACTTTATAAATTTCATAATAATAAACAAAAGATCATGCCATCAAATGTACTTCTTCTATTTTTAATAAAATCAAAAATATTCAATTTTAAATTTTTTTTTCAGTTTTCATTTTTTATTTCTATTTTTAATTTTTAATTTTTCATGCTTGCTTCATTAATTAATTAATGACGCTTTAATGACTGCCAATTCAAAAGCAGAAATTCTTCGTATGTGTATATGATTTATAATATGTGAGAATATGTATGAATGTACGCATGCTCATTTAAATATAAAAAATTTTAAAAATCAAAACTAAATGTTAATAATGTTTTTTAATTGAAATATATATAATTTCTAACAATTTGATTCTGAATAAAAATAATTATACTTACTTTTTTTAAAAATTGTCATTTTATTGTTATTTTTAAATTTCGATTATTATGTTGATTTATATTTTTTTATTGATTTTTTTCTTTTTATTATTTTATTATTTTTCATTATATTATTTGTTAATATTATTTTTACCTATCTATTTTAAATGATCTTATGAAAAAGAAAATAATATAATAACATAAAGCAAGTCACATAATTTAATAATTATATTGCAATATAAAACTTTTGATGTCTTTTTGCCGAATTTTTTTTTATTTTCATTTAGATAATCCATCATCACATAAAAAATAATCAGAATGAATCAAAAAATATAATAAAATAATGTAACATAATTAACAATTTTGTTCAATAAGTAGTTATAATGATGACAATCATAATCTTTGTCACCGTAATTGTAAGAAAAGAAATTATTTAAGATAATAAAAAAAAACGAAAATTGATGTCTATTAAAAAAATCAAAAAATAATTAATAATGATAGACAATTTAATGATTGCAAGAAGAAATAATAAAAAATAAAGGGATAAACAAATCATAAATTAGAAAAGAAAAAGAAAATGTAAGTGATATAATAATATCAATAAATAAGAAAATGATAATGCAGAGAAAAGAAAGTTATTAAGTCATAATTATGATTATGAGTGATTATGAAAAAAAAATTCTATTAATCATTCGCAATGTTTTCAATAAAAATCTTTCCTGATGTACGAACAATAAAACTTTCACCATTTCCTATTATCATTTTTTTTCATTATGCCTTCCTTTCATATAAATTTTTATTTTATTATTATTTAATGTTATTAATGATCAAACAGTTTAAAAATATATTAATATATTTTCATATTATTATATATTATATATTTAATATTTAATATAATAATATATATTAAATATATATAATAAATATATTATTTATTATAATTTATATTTTAATTATAATTTGATAAAACATTTCATTGAATATATATATATATATTTTTTAATGTTTTTCTTTATTTGTTAAATTTAGAATATGAAAAAAGATGAAAAGAGAAAACAAATTATAAGAAAATGACATCATCTACTTATGTTAAAATTCATAATTTGTAATTAATAGTTTTATATTCGATATAAATATATGTATTTTTATTAAATATTTCATTTTTTGAATAGTTTTTAAATATTGAAATATGAGTAAATAATGATAATAATAAAAGTATTTTTTTTTTATAGATATATTTCTATACATATATATATTTCTATAGATCATTTTATAATGAGAATATATTCGATTTATATTGTTTATAATAATAATTCCGATATTTAATCAATAATCTTTGCAATAAATAATAGAATACTTATTTTCTTTATTGTGTCTTTATTTTTTTAAATATGAAATAAAATATGTTGAATATAAAAGATTGAAGTAATATTCTCTGATACTTTTATTTAATATTCTTTATTTTTTTTATTATCATGTTAGTTATATAAATTTTCATTGATTATAATCAATAAAATTAATTTAAATAATTGATAAATTATTTGAAAAATAATAATATAATTTAATTTATTTT